TTTTTTTTGATTAAAATATATGAACTTGTTTATTGTAGCCCAAAAAGGTGTATGGCAAAATCTATGAGCATTACTGAAAATGGCTTTTATTTTCAAATATTAATGTGGGGAACAATCACTGTGGTGGTAAGCTGCAACTGATTTTGGGTATATCAGATACCTAGTATACAGCAAGTTTCTTTCCTATACCTAATTAGTGGGACGATATTTTTTTTAATTTTGGATTAACAAATTTTTTAATGAATTTATAATAATATATGACACTGATGACAATTATTAATGTTTCAAGTTTCACAGTTTGAGTGCACTTTGATATCGGAGAACGGGAACTAAAGCTTTAGCCTTATCTCTTTAGATTTTCCAGCGTTTGGCATATAAACAACATCAACAAATTGTAATATAAAACATTGTTTAAATAAATACATACATAATATATATCAATCCAATAAAAATGTAAATTGAAGTATAACTTTATCTTTTTTAATAAGTATTGCACTAGAAACCCTACTATGAATAAATTGTTGATGGTTATTGATACCGAAATGGTAATTATTACCCTGAAACTTAATTTGTGCATTTTCATCGGAACAGTATCGTCCAGTCCTTGTACTCATCTGCTATTAAATAATTAATTAAAATTATTAGGTATCTAAATCATGCATTTATGGTATAATTTGTAATTATTTCTTATTATTAAATTACCTGTTTAGCATTTTTTAATTTGCCGCAAAGTTTGTAAATTATTGAATTTAATAACTGGAACGGGCCTGTGTGTAGTCCGTTGAGTTGCAAGGTCATTTTTTAATTCTTTTAAAAAGGTTCATTTATGAAAGCTTTCAAGATTAATTTTAATGTCAAGGAAAAACATCAAGAAGATGTTAAACGGCTTGGAACCAAGTGTACGCATGGGAGCCGGAATTATAGGAATAATAGGCGCTTTTCTGTGTATTTGAACAACAATAAAACGTCAAAAGAAATTAAACATTATTATCAATAAAAACACGATTTTAGAGAGAAATATGTGCATTTTGCTTATTGAATTTTTTTGTCAAGTCAAGTAAAGCTAAAGTAATTACTCAGTACTAACTATTATTGTCATTTTTGTGCTCAAAATCGGTTGATTTAGAAATACGGAAACCATTACTGAAGGTGTATGTTTGTAGCTTAGCTCTGGACGCTTAAAAAATCAGCAAGAAATAGGAGAGATACGTAGGCACCTTCTGAGGCACGAGAAGCTAAGTTAGAGATCTAATAGAAGCATAAATGGAAGTTAAGAAGAGTAGCGGTAGAGAGTTTAGATTACTGTTCATAAATGGTTGGAAATGTAGATCAGCGGTTCTCAAAGGGTATTCCGAGGAACCCTAGCGTTTCGTAGAAGTATCACAAAGATATTGCGTTGATTGTCCTAATAAAAATACACAAAATTCTTCGAAAATCAACTGTTTTGTATTTAACCACAACAATGGCATATTTTTCATAACGAAACCAATAACAAAAGGTCGAACCTTAACAGTTTGGTCTCTATACCAAAAATTCGAATCAACTGATTTAAATTTGAATGGCCATTAAATGGAACTTGATGATGAAGTCTTTGAGAAGGTTATCACGGGGCCTGTTTAGGTTTATACTCCTATGGACTTACAGATTACAGTCGAACTTTTCAATTTATGCCAACACCAAAACCAAATTCAAAACTAGACCTTATGCCGCTCTGGATATTCGAATTCAATTGTCGGACATTGAACCAATTTTAATACTATTATATAAGTAAAAAATATGCACATTAAAAACGGGGAATAAAGATTTTGAATTGAAAATTCGAGTTGAAGTTGATTACTCTAGTTTTCTAAAAATGCAATGATTGGTTCAAGATAAAAAGAAGTGAAGTGCGTGTCCAATCAATCTTATGACCTTGTGATGATCTCACGATGGTGATTATTGACGAAAAAGAAAAAGATTTCTTGATTCCGTTAGATACAGAAAACTGTGCACCGAGCAGTTATACACAATAAAATCATAGAACAACGATATTGTGATCAGAGCAATCAATTTTACGAGATCGCAACTACCTACATATAGAATATTCCAATGACTCCCAGGACGAATGATCTCGGGAACTTATAGTAACTACGAATATAATATACAAGTTACAAATAGGACATCGTAGCTATCCTCAATTAGATACTAACCGCGTCTCCATGTGACAAGTTTTTTAATACAATAGATAATAAAAAAAAAATTTATACTGGAACTGGAAAAAAACGATTTAATTTTTTTAGATTTAAATAAAAAACTGTTTGGTGA